GTGTGTGTGTGTGTGTGTGTGTGTGTGTGTGTGTGTGTGTGTGTGTGAATGTGTGTGCAGACCATTGATCGCGAGCACATTCGGTTCAGCTGAAAAGAGCACCAATCGCAGTGCCGGGAAGTGGACACCAGTTGTGGGTGACGTAAGTGGCGACATACGAGGACAAGTTGCGGCGTCCCTTCTGCGGTCAACCCCCATCACATGGCATTAATCGCCATCGTGTCGAGGGTCGTCATCGTCGCCGCTGCCGCCGCCGCAGCCGTAGTCAAGTCGAAACCAGTGTCTCACGAGCATACACACTGGTTGCAAGCCGCGAGCGACGAGCGTGTGCGTCTTATTTTTCAGTTGAATTTTTCAATCGTATCGTCTCGTCCGGCCGCCGCCACCGTCGTTCGCGATAATAATTGTAGTTCTACGCGTGAGTAGTACCGTTGTATCGACGAGAGTCCCTCGCGCGTTCTCGTGCGCGACAGTTAACATTAATAATTTTATTCTATCGTTGGCAACGATCAACCGTTTATTCCTTCCGCCCCAGCACCCTCCCCCCACCCACCGGGCGCCGGCCACGTAGTTTGACGTTCTGGTCGTCGAGTTTTATCTGTTCGCAAACGCAATAGCTATTATTGGCGCTATCGCGTTCGCACAATCGGAACCGCGTGATAATGGTTCCCATCCGGACGAACGCGTGCCGAAGCCGAACACCGCGGCCGCAGCGAGTACAACGGTTACGATGAACACTACCGGTGGTCGCTGGGCTGCAGGTGTCCTTCCCCGGATGGACAGCGTCGTTCTAGGTGTCGTCGCGGAACTCGGTTTCGGGTAACGATCAGCGATGATGATTTGACGCCCGAAGACGTCTACGGAAGACGCCGCCGATCTGTTGCAGTCCGCGCAATTGGACCCGGCCGCCGCATCCGCAGGTAAATCACACCACGTGCTCGTAATAACCGCGCGTACGAACCCGGTGCAACTCGTTCGCGTGTAAGCCGAAATATCTTTTTTTACCCGTAAACTTTTTATGTCTTTTATTTGTATTTCTTGTGTGTATATTCCGCAGGGCTTCAATCGGTAACTTCGTTTAATACTTTCGCATATTTCTCCAACATGACATTTTTAAAATTATCATTCACATAGCGTACTGATTGATCCGTGTGAATTGCAAATCGATCGGTCCTTTAGTTTAGGCAACAGAACGATCGGGCTGTTTCTCATAAAATTACACAGTTAATATGTACATTACACAGGTATAAAGCGAGTTTAATATGTTGACAAAATATTTTTAATTTTATACTAACTATTCATTATTCGTATGCGATATCATGTGATTTCGTTGTATACCTACTGTTTTACATTTTTACACTATATTTTTTACACTTGGTTACAAAACTGTTACAGGTGGGTAATCCGAGGGCGCATGCAAGTTCTTTCTAGTATTATTAGGTAGCCATAAATCTCTGTGCGCAAACGAGTTGTGATTTGCGCGCAGACGAGTTAAATGGTCGCGAACAAGATGTACTCACACGCACCAATACTAGTGTTAATATTGTGTTCAATATAATGTTTACGCGACGGCCAACCATATGTGCTGTGGCTAAGCACATCGCTCCACTTTGAAAAACAATATAATTCCTATACCTTTTTATTAGACGAATATTAATGTTTATTAATATCAACGCACGTCACACATATTTAATATATATATATTTATAATATAAGGAAAATGATAAAATTAGTTCCATTAAAACGTGATTAGAACCACAAAAATCTCCCGATAGTTCAACACACTTATTTTTACAGATAAAATGTTTTTGTTACTGTTGATGGTTTCTTATATAGTCATATGAATTATCGAATATAGAAATTGTTATATGTATATCTGTAAATTTAAAAGTTCACAAGTTAATGAATATAATAATAAATACAATAAACATTAAATAATTACATACTAATCGATTCGTTGTTCTTTACATGTGGACGTCAAGTACACAAAATTTAACCCCAACCGCTGTCAGCAAAATTATGTTTTAATTTTTTACTGTGGCAAGTTATTTATTTCAAAATCAAAGTAAAATAATTTATCGAATCAAATTATGTCATTAATCGTCACACAGTAAAATATTAATGAGATTTGGTTACATTATAATATCATTACACAATTGGATCTCTATTAAATACTATAACTTATAGGAAATAATAAAACTTGTGTTTTTTTAATTTTTTATTACACGCAGTAAACAACTGATTTACGTATCGAATTAAATTACGGAGTGAAAAATTTAAATAAAGTGTAATTAGATCATGTCAGTGATTGAGAATACCTAACTCGTTGTCTGAAGGTACACTATAAAGTAACATGTTTTTTTGTAGTCTTTCACATGCAGCGTGTTTCCTTTAAAATAAATATATATATACGTATACTGACACGTTATACCATTAGTACCATTAATACACTTCATGGGTTCAAGATTGACAATTTATTTATATAAATTAATTTTTTATAAAATCATTTTAGATAAATTAATTATGTAGGTACAAAACTACTACGAGTTAAAAAAAATGTTTTTAAAGTTTCGTTCCCTATAATAATGTTAATATTAATAATATTAATAGCTATTGGTATTTATTTACATTTTCATTGTTTAATTTTTATTATTTATTTTTTTATTTATTTATTATTTTTTATTATTTAAAATCACTTCAATTTAAAGTTAATATGACATAGTTTTATTATTAAAAATAATGATATTTGAAAAATAATATTTAATTAAATATATAAATAAATATATGAAGACGACTTAGTTTTATTTGGTATTCGATCAATAGTTATTGGAAGACTGATACTAACTTTTATGATTATATTTTGTTCATTAAAAGCTCAAACAGAAATATTATATTGTTACCAATTGTAACTTACCATATAATATATAATAAAATAATAAAAATTTGATTAAAATTAAATATTAGTAGATGATTAACACTCGTAAATTAATACATAAATAAAGAAATAGTGTATATATAGAAGTAAATAAATAAATGTTTGGAGCATTATTACAATTGTAAAGTACAACCGGTTAAGAATTAAAAATTCATCGTCTAGTAAAATTAGTCAATAAAATTAGAATTTTATATATTATATATTTATAAATAATGTTTCAACGAAAAACATTACAAACATTTTTTCACAATTATTATGCCTGCATCGACTGCATCATACATCATGCCAGTATAAATGAAAATTAAACTATAATAAAATATTTAATCAAATATATTAAAAATTCTCAACAATTCCCACCCAAAATTCGATAGCAAATGTATGTACATTTTCTATGATTTGAATTAATGCCATACTTCTATAATTAATTTTGAATTACTAAAGATTCTATGATTTTCAAAAATTTTCGTAAAAAAATAAGCTAATTTATATTCTAAAATATATTCACTAATCACTTTTTAATACTTTTCTAAGCAGAATTAATAGTTTTATGATGTACCTACCGGTTCGTTTCAATAATTTTTAATAGTTTCAAAACAAGTACTTATATGCCAATTTTAATTTAATCACGATATATTCTTTAAATAAATATGGTTCTACAAATGAAATAAGCTATCAAATATATTTTTTTAATTATTGTTTTTAAAAATTAATAATTTTTAGATTCTGAATGGAATGAATAAAAAATTTGATCAGGATATGTGTTTTTATGTGTCTGTATATTTTGACCAAAATTATTTCTTCGATTATCACATCAATAAAGTATAGAAAATTTTGTATATATCATCGTTTGCCATCATCGTTAGATGGTATTATTTTTTTAAAGAATTTTTCGAACTTTTTGTAAAAAATTGAAATATTAATAATTTCTTAGTTTTTTTTTTTTTGAAAATATCGATAAAATAATCGGTTTAACAAAAATTCTTGAAAATGTAACACAAAGTTCTTCATATATATTTAATATGTATGAAGAACTTTTTAATAAACTCTATTACTAATTAAAGTAAAAAGTAGATTTTTATTTCAATAAGATAATGTAGGAGCGTTTAAATATAAAATGTTGATAGTCAAAATCACAAAAATTGATAAAATTTCTAACTTTTGTACTTGAAGTTTGAAAGTTGGATAAAAGATTTTTTCGGTACAATCGCGGGGAAAAAAAAAAAGAAAAAGGTGGAATTGTGTCTACGGTTTTTTTTTTAATCAGGTTTGAATTGCGCGTGCATAATATTTTTCAGTCAAGCACGAATTCATATTAGTGTATAACAATACATAACAATATCCACTTTTTTTTGTGTGTAATCAATTTACACACCTAATATTTCATATTAATTAATAAATATTAAAATAAATAATAATAACAATAATAAAATACATTTTATTTTTTCATTTTTAGAAATTTAACATTTATTGTGCTTCAGGTTAAAAATAATAATTTATGGGTAAAAAACTATGTAATTTAAGATATAAATAATACAAAATATATATGAATAATGAAGATGAAAATTAATAATAATTTTTAAATAATAAAAATAATAATAAATAAATAAATATAATTTATATATAATCGAACTTACCGCTGATTAGCCACGGATGCTACTCGGACTTGATACCAATACTTGTGCACAACTTGGTTGTAGTCAATTTTTTTTCGCACGAAATTCGGATAAAGCCGATTTTTTATAGACTTTTTATCATCTCGTAGTTTAAAAAAACGAAATCACTGAAAATTTGCTAAAATTATTTAATATATATATATATATATATATAAGCGTTACAAAATAAAATTTATACGAAATCGGATATTTCAAGGAATTTTCTTTAAATTATATTAGTTGTCTAGTTAAAAGTACATCATAGTTTTGAATTATTTTATAAAGTTTGTAATATTAAAGTTTTTGATTTTATCAAACTTTAGGTGCAAAAATTAAAACATTAAAAATTTAACCTAATTCATTAAGAAATTCGTTTTTTTCTATATTAACCATCTTCAGAAATATTAACCGACCTCTTTATGTTAGAATCTTTTTTTTGAGAGCAATTGACAATGGTTTTATATTGTAAAGACCAATACAGCAATACCATTCATTCATCCCTGTGTCTCACCTAACCTAGAAGTCTCGCTTTTAACAATAATTATGTTATAACACTGTTCACATATTTATTGGTAGATTTTGGTCTACTGAAAAATTCATATTTTATTAACCATAGATTATTAATATTTATTATTTTTATTTAATATATTTTATTTACCTTCACTGCAAAAAAAAAAAATCAATATAAACAATTAAATAATAATAATAATAAAATTATACAGAGAATTCTACTTTATATACCACCATTAAAAAAAAAATGATAGCCTTTTAATTTATACATACTGTGAGATCATTTTTTGGTCCTACAAGTGTAATTAATACTTTGTGTAAATTATAAATTACAATCTATGAACTATTGAATGTTTTCAGTAAATATTATAATTTTGTTTGAAAACACTTTATTCTACTTAGATTCAAAAAGTTATACTAAATGTTTAAGTTATCTATGACCATCTATGAACATGTGGTCTTAGAATGTAATTTTATAATACACAAAATAACGATTATTAAAATACATTTATATTTAAAATTAATTAAAGGTTTTTAAGTTCGTTTTTTAATTTAATAGTCTTGTTTGATTTAATATTTTTACTTTTTTTTTGATCTAAAATAAACATCAGCAACAAGGCTATTCGTTTTTGGTTTAAAAAAAACAGGTACATTTTACATAGATAGTGATTAAACACTGATTAATATAGTGACGTTAATAAATTAAATATATATTATACAATTTAACTTAAGTTTACTAGATTTTATTATTTTAATCAGTTTTTTTTTAAAAAGATTATCAAGTTACTATTGGTTTCTGTGTTTGGTTCTAATGCTTCATTCATGTTAGGTGTGATATAGATTCAATATTTTTTGTTTGAGTCAACTAAAAAAAAATAGGATTTGAAGATTTCTGGATAGGGTGATCAGACATTGTATAGTTATTATGATATTTAGATTAATTAAGTGTTTAAGTTGGCTTCTATTTATGTTTTCTGTTTAATATTATGAGCTGTATATACACTATTTTCAAAAATTTTAAAAACCGGTCTCAAAAAGTGGAGTAAGTATGACGGTGCGGAAGTGGTGGAAGAATAGAGAATATACTACTACAAACATAACGAGCGGATGTTTTAGTAGGGGGAGGGTGGATCCCAGTACAGAAGACACAGGATGAATGGGGTAGGCGATGAGGAAGACATGATGCCCCAGAACAATTTTCCGGAGAATCCATTTCCCGTCCTACGTACATAAGTTTATCACCAATGAACGGAAGCCTTATAAAGTAAATCGTACGAACACTCCAACAACAATGAGCTATACGCGGTCCCTTTTATAATATTGTTACCATAACAACGGTCAAACAACCACCGACTGGCTGGCCAACTACAGCAGGCCATGGGGATAACCGCTGTCTGTCCCACCCCTCGACGAAATGTAAAGGGCTCACGAACACACCCCCCTTGAATGTTTATCCTCTATCTCCATCTCTCTCTCTCATTTACTCAATACTCCTTGGTGTTTGTGTATATATATATATATGTATACATTATTATTATCTAAATTCAAAGAAAATAAAACACTATTATATGTATACAAATGTTTCTCCGTAAAGTTATGAAATACTACCCTTTACCTGCCCATTCGTAACTTGTATGGATTCTTTTTTTAAATTATTTTTACGGTAAAAGTAGAAGAAATGTTTGAGATAAGCTGAAATTTCCGACAGCTTATAACTATATAATATTTACGTCACAGTCTTGTAAAATACTAAAACAAAAAGACAATTCAATTTATTGAACTCCTTTTTTTTTTTCTGAACAATAACCAATTCGATAATGATATCTAGTTTAAAAAAAATATATTTAATTATAATAATACATAATATTATAAGGACTTAAATTTACTATTCAATTATTGAGTATGATTGAATCTATAACTGTATCATATTTTTATTATATATTTAATATATTTCATATAATTATTATTGTACAATGCCATATTTCCATTTATATATCAATGCATATTTCATACTACTTTTTGAACACATAACCAACTTTTACATTTAAGAATACCATACAAATTAAATTTAAATATGGTAACATATAATTATACTTCAGTATTCGATATTTTGATTCAAAGGACCAATATAATTATTTTGAAAGTATTTATTTTTATTGATATTTTTCGTCTTTTCTTGTAATATAATAAAAACTATAAAATAATCCAATCTACTACATTCTTTAACAATTGAAAAATCTATTTTCACATACAATTTTATATTATTCTCCAGAAACTACATATCTAATTAGATACTTACTCAAAGTATTTTGTATAATAATCGTATGGTATGTAGGTATGTATATAATTTATTTGAAATATTCAAGTAAAAAAAATTATTAACCCGCAACATAGGTATATCGATTAAATTATTATGAAACAGCAACAAAAATGGTAATTGTTAGATATGATTATTGAACCATAAGTATTATTGACGAAAATAAATAATTATACATACATAATTATATATATTATTGTATTATTACACTATACCTATATATAAAATTTATATCATATAATAATTATAATGATATGTATACCAATATAGTTGTAGTATATTCTCGTATGTATGTACTAAAAAAATATTAGACAATTCATATTAATAATAATAATAATATTTTATAATTAAGACTCGGATGTTTATATATTTAAAACAACTGTAATATGGATACGTTTATACACTACATTATTACCAAATATACACAAAAAAACATAAAATATGCATAATACAATTTACCTAAATATTAAAAATTATTATTAAATAATATTAAAAACATCAATAATCATTTAACCAATCTTCGGATTGATCAAAAAAAAAAAATAAATAAATAAATAAATAAATAAATAATAAATAAATAAAAAATAAAATTAAAAATTAAATATAAAATGAGCGTTCCATTGGAATAGAATAATTTTTTTGATTTGATTAAATTTGAATTTAAAAATATTTGGAACAAACATAATTTATGGTTCGATAATTTATCATTAATCTACCCGTTAATTAAAATTGTTTTAAAAATTTGAAAATGTACTGAAATATGTTTTAATATTCTCAAAACTCCAAAAAAATGCATTGAAAATATAAAACAATGAAATATGAAAAATAAAAAATATAGTATTATTTGATTCAGTAGAATATGAATCATATTTGTGTCCAGGTCCGCGTTAAATTGGATCAATAGAAAAAAATATGCAATTCCATAAACATCTAAGACTTAGTGACAATAATAATATACGTTGGATTTATTTTGCATTTTGCTTTCAGGGGAGGAAACGGTATGGCCGGGGGTTGAGTGGGCGTCAGTACGGGGTTCAATGGATTGGTGCGCAGGTGGCGAAGATCTGCTGGGCGACCCTACGCTGCTAGTGGCTGCAGGTATGTTGCACGGGCCAACGCAATTCTGCACAGACACTTGCTGTACGCCCGGACTGGAACAGCCCAACGAGCACACGGTTCAGTTCCAGCAGCCCGCGATCGTCACAGTCGGTGGTTCTTACAGGTAAACATATTATGATTTAATCATTTTTCATTGGCTATAGTGATATTATAATAATATACATTCCCCTTTTCACCGTTGTTGATTACTAAATGGCGGTGTTGTATTATTAATGACTTTTTTATTTAATTGTCGATTGCAGCGAGTAACTACATCATAATGGTCATAAATTTATTATGTTACCTATGTATATAGAAGTAAATTGAACCGTTAGGTATTAAGAACTATGGAGCTAAAATTGTTTAATTACTTAATTGTTAAATCTGAAATCATAACCTACACATTTATAATAATATGTTACATCCATTTTAACTATTATAGATTAACCTGCTCTTAAAATACTTATTGTAATGTTTTCGTTAAAACGTTTAAAATGGTTTTCTTCGTTACGACAATATATAATTGCGTTTCGGCCAATAAGTTATTGAATCAGAATTATCAAACTTATATGGTACTATATAAATGCATATAATATTGTAGTATTATGATGTGGAAGGAAAATGATGAGAATACCATGTTTATTAACAAGTTAAAAATACGGATTATAGAAGTTTATTCTCTTCTATATCTATTTATGAACCGAATTTAATATGCGAAGTTTTTTTGTGTTTAGTTATAGATTTAATATTAGTTAGAAATAAATAATAATTGAAACGTGTTTACCGCCAAGTCGTAAAACGCTAGGTTATAAGTTATAAACTAGAAACTTTGAGTTAATTTCATCGTTTATTTATTAAACATTTAAAAAAAAAAAATTGTAAAAACAATTGTTTTATAATCAATTTTCATTAAAATTGTAAAATGTTTATAGGTAGAATAATAGTTATTATTAGGTACATTTAGCATCCGATAAATGCATTATCAATGTAATTTGCATGCGATTAAAAATAAATGATAATTTGAACGTTGTGGACTGGAGCTTCCCAGAGAGTTATTCTGAGATACTTTTAAAATTAAGAAATTAAAATCAGTATTATGGAATATGGTGATTAAACAACATATTACCAAACAGTTTAACAACATGGTTTTATGCTAACACGCACTTAACCAACTATTTTTCTAATTTATATGATAATATTATATTATATAAATTACATATCAAAATATAACGCTACTAACAGCTTAAGTTTTTTGTTGACTTTTTATTTGCTTAAATTTTTAAAAAGAACCATTAATTAAAATTATTATTTCGAATTGTAACACATTAACAAGTTTTAATTATAATTACATTTTGGAAAATAATGGTCTAAACATTTGAATTAGAAAAAATGGCTTTTATACTGAATTTTTAAACGCCATCGGCTTCCACTAGTACTAATTGTGTAAAACAATGAAAACTAAGATGATACCCGTTCAATATCTCAAAAAAGAAAGGTAAATTTAAGATAGAATATAAAATAAAATAACACAGACATTTTTTTGCTAATATTCAACTATTTATATAATTATATATTTATCAATTATTATACTTGAATCGATTTTATGCGTTATATTTGTGATTTTGTATGATATCAATAAACTAATGACAATTTTTTGAACTTAGTTATTAATGTATAATTATATATTATAATAATACTCAAAATTATATTTTCAATATAATAAGAAATAATATTTTTTATAAATTAAGGTAACGCTACAAACGTGTTAAAATAATAATTCAAATTTATAGTATTGATTTATATTTGTTTGTACATTATTACCTAACGACTAACAATATAAATTTACATAACAAAATGATTGCCTTAATTTTAAATTTAAAATACAAATAATAAATATTTGTCTTCTAGTCTTTTGCATACTTCTACCCTTATTAAAATTATATTTTGATACAATGACATAATACCTATTTGCTCTTTAAATTTTAAGTTATTTTTATTATTATTATTGTTATTAAAATTATTGTTATATATAATTCATTTACTGTTAATACGTGTACAATATATTTTATATACATTATATGAAAAAAAAAAAAAACTGTAATTGGAATTTATTTCCGTAAAAAAAAAAAATAACTGACCCAATTAATTAATTATTATGAACATATATATTTTTGAGGAAACCAACACTTCGTAGATACTTGTATATTTTTTAGAAGGATCCTAACTACATTCTATAGTCTATACTTCATACAAGGTCTACCAAAAACAAATACTTCTTGACCAGATCATATGCTAAACTATTGTAGTTCATTTACGCCTATGCCTCGGTACTTGTATATACTATACCTAATGTAAAATATTGTACTCAAAATGGTAAATAATAAACTTTACTATTAAAATATTAATTTATTGTTATTTTATTTTTGCATTATTGTAATAACTATCGATTTTGTATAACTAAAAATGTTATTTCTATAACACACTATTTTACGGAGAAAAAAAATGAAGTATACGTTGTTATAAATACTGTTCAATTAATTTATATTAATATTTTTATGGTTTTATTATAGTAAACCGTGTGGAGATATGGCTGACGTGTTGTTGTCTTTGAAACACACCGTACCAACACCACAATCCTCTGTAGGCGAACACCAACAACATGACCAATCTTACGCGTTGACATCTAATCAAAACGTAAGTACCTACCAATGTAATTATGGATGTATACATGCATAGGCAAAGTAAACACGCACCTATAGCAACAAATTTTTATGGATAAAACATTTGCATAATATTAATATACAGTAGAATTCATGTTATTTTTTTGAATTAAGATATATGCATTAGACTAATTTTCATAGTTTGGGATAATAAATCAATATATATGTACACCAATTGAGATTTAAAAATAGATAATAGTTAGTTTGGTATTAAAAATAATTCATAATAAATGCACATTAAATATATGGTTGGATCTGTTAGACATATAATTTCAAATGGTAGCAAAATGACAAATGTTCCTCCAAAGACAGGTATTCAATATATATTTTAATATAAAAATATGCATAGGTAGTATTACAACTTTTGTCTACAGTAATGTCATTGATTTTATAATATAAAAACAATTTGATTCAATACTTTATAGATTAATATAATAAAATCAATGGTAATATTATGCTTTATTTGATCGGATACTTATATTTATAATATTATATAATACGTAATATACGTCCAGCTAGTTACCTTTATTATTACGAATAAGGTATGCTATAATATAATAGATATTTGTATTCAGTACCGTGTCTAGCATAATTAGCGCCTGGTGCCAAGAATAATTTTTTAGCGCCCCTACCCCTCTACTAAATATTTTTATACCTATAGGCTATAAGGAGACTACATAAGAATAGGGGGGTTCTATATAACTACTTATTTTGGATTTATTAAATTAATAAGAACAATATAAGTATATAACTCAAACTGTATAGGTAGAACAAAACATGTAGATAATATCCCATCATACTAAACCGGTATAATTTATCCGCAAATCAAATTTATTCAATTGCACAAAAAATAAATTATCTTTAAATAATTGCCGATGAAAAATAATTAGTTACCTATTCAACTTCTACGTTTATAAATCATAATGTGAACACTGTCACAGATGGGTTCAAAATAAAATCGTACAATCGTTCAAGTCGACATTCGTTTATGTTATTAATTTTATTAAATAAATTATATCAAGTAACGATAATAATAGAGTGTAAATGGTATATTATTGTTAATTTTTTATGAAATGACGTTGTCATTTCGGGGAAAAATTAAATATCAATATTAAAAATAAACTAGTAATATCATCGATCAGGACCATGGCGTCGAACGTGTTAAATATTGTGGTCAACTTTCAGTAATACTACATAGCCTTTGAAAAAGCTTTTGGCACCCCAATGGTCATGGCACCCGGTGCACACGCACCTCTCGCACACCCCTAGGTACGGCCCTGCTCGTACTGGCTACTGTGTCATATCTAATATCTGCAGACCACGAATTACATATATTTGCATATTATTTTTTATGTGCTATTGCTATTTAATGAAAAATTAGGTACGATCGTCATTATCTTCAACTATATTCAATATTTCGGGATGAATTTCAATTTCACCGATAAACAGTTCAATATCTAAATCATATTTATATCATCAATATTTAATTTAATGTATTTATTTGCCATTTTCGCGATTTTTGTAAAAAAAATATTTTAAAAATAATTTTTCCGTGTGTAAAAAAACGCATATATGGATGGCTCACACGATATACGACAAAGTACTGTTTGCCGGAGTTGCGGTTGATAACGCATGTCCGGTGAACTCACGGTGAGGCGGGATCCCACGGACGAAACTGCACGCATGTGGACGTCGCCGCAACGTCAACGTAACGTCTTATACCCCGGTTTCATACTTCATTAGTGCTTCTAACCGCAAGCACGGATATAAATACTAAGTATCTATATCCATGCCGCAAGTGTGGCGCCGTACGTTAACAATACGCAAGTGTACATCTAGCCTTAGGTACTGTTCACACAACGGATAACGCAACGATCCGATCACGATACAGTTTAAGTCGGTCAAATAATATTTAACTATTTTTGAATTAGAATGTTTATATTATCGATAACGCTCACGTCGCGATCAATTTACGGAGCAGCTAACGATTAATTGAAACAATTTTTTATCGGAGTGAGGACCAGTTCTTTCGTATTTATCAGCGCCAACTTGCGGTGTTTTTTGGTTTTGTAAAGCTGGGATCCCATGGCACGGAGCACGGCTCAGGGCTTGGTATAGCTCGGTACAGTACTAATGAAACGATGGTCGATTGGACAGTGCCGTAGCAATCAAACATTGCGCCCGGAGAGAAACTTCAAAATGCGTCCCTATGAATTTTTAATTTAAAAATATTTTGCTTATTAGATATTATTTTCAATAATTGTTTTAATTAATATGAAGATGTTAAAGATTTTGTAAACAAAAAATACGAAATTGACAAAATAAAATTAAGACAAATCCTGTCACATCACTTTTGATGGGCAACATCAAGTTTGCCCTAAAATTTCCTTTAACAACATCACAATTCCAACCTCTTCAAGCACAAAATACCTAGGTATATATTTTGACAAAAAATTAAACTGGGCCCATCATACTCAAACCATCAAAATTAAACTAAACACTCGTCTTCGTTCCCTTAAATTTTTCTTTGACGCAAAATCAAAGCTTACACTTCACACTAAACTAAACTTATACAAAACTCTCCTTAAACCCATTTGGATGTATGGCATCCAAATTTGGAGCTCTGCAAAAAGTCACATATAAACGAAATTCAAATAACCCAAAACAAATTTTTTCGTTTAATAACAAAGGCTTCTTTTTATATATCTAACCAAACCTTACACTCAGACCTAAAAATGAACACCGTGTGAGAAACCGCTACCAAGTCCTACTCTCGTTACCACAACTCTCTCTTCGACCATCCTAACATCCTAGCAAAAAATCTAACCAATCCAATACCTGGAAACCCTCCCAAAAGATTGAAAAGAGAGTGGTGCCGCGACCTACTTCTATAATTTAACCTTACGACTCTGACCTGGAGTGTCGCCATTGGGCGGCTTCTCCTTCATGACTTCTGGCTGTAACCTTAATTTTGTAAACACTTAAGTTTATTATACATAATTTTTATAGATTGTTTAACTCAAATAAAGAACAAAAAAAAAAAAAAAAACAATTAAAATATATTTCTAATGGATTAAATATATATATATATGACCAATCGATTTTGTAGCTAGTAATTATAAAGAGTTTCCAGTAGGTTAAAATTCAAATAATTTCTCTATTTTGACATCTAACATGGACAATGTTAACTGTAAAGAACTAAATTATCCTTCAAATGTGTAGAAAATATTTTTAAAATCTTGCTATAATTATTCTATTAGGCAAAAACTACGATATTTCTGATACACGAATACCTGTTATATTAGTTAAACCGATTTTAGTTGTTTGTTTTGTTAGTTAAAATCGAACGGTTAAAACTTAGATACTCGACATCGTCAGCAATTTTTTTATAAATTTACTTTTATAAATATTGCCGTTAAAATAACATATGAAGAAAATTTGGCTTTCGTTTAATCCTTATGGAGTATTTATATTACTTTTAGTGCTTAACGTTGATAATACATTTTATAGGATGATTCGCAGCCATTAGTCGATTATGGTAGTTCGTACGGTGACCAGACGTGCTGGACTACACTTGGCGGACACCAACAGCAACAGGTCCAGCAACATCAATTTCCTAGCATGAGCGTGAACGTCAGCATGAACATGACCATGCATGGGTACACTCCCATCCATGGAGATGCGCAGTTCGGATGTCAACCGGTAATTTTATTGAATTATAACAATTAATGTTTTTACATTAAATCCTTAACCGACCGTTCGGATTTCTCCGATCTTTCAATTAAATAATGGTTTGGGTCTGAGAGTGTGATTTTTTTTCTGTTCCTGATGTAAAATATTTCTTCTACAATTAAAGAAATTGATCCATCTGCCTAATTCTGTTGAAAAAACCTACCAGAAATTAGAGAATGATGAGTGGACAATAATATTTTTATAAGTAACGTAATATTAAACGCTAAGGATCTCCAACCTTTTTTACATCTGACCAAGTTGCGTTTCGACATTGCAAGACATGATTGTTTAGAGAAGGATAGAATGATGATGAAATCGAAAATATAAATAACAATTATTTTATTATTTAATTTATTATTATTTGACAAGAACAGCTCGTCTTCCAGAATAATATCTCATTTTTTATTTTTTAATTGTAAGTTATTAAATTGCAAACATTTACTGTAAACAAATATTTAAATGTATATTTTCAAAACACTATTTACCTCGGCGGGCCATGATTTAAGTACCCCTTGTATACACCATACACCAACGCATTATTTGTAATATACGGTTTGCAGGTCGGATGGACTCTGCCGGCATCACCATCGCCGGTGCATCACCACCACGGTTCGGCGCACCACCATCAAGGGCTAATGAGTCCGCTGGTTTCCATGGGCCCCAGCTACTCGTCGGGCGCCACGTACTCCTTCACGGCGGACTTCCGACCACAGGACCCTGCGCCACTACCGCCGGGGACGTTCGCGTGCAACATTCAGCCGGCGTCCTCGTTGCCGGTCGACGACGACTGCAAGGATCGGAAACCCTGCACCGAAATCCTTATGTCAGCGAGCGGCGGAGTCTGCGGCGGCATCGGAGTGGACTGTTCACCGGTCAGCTCGGGCGCCGCGGCCGTGGGCGAAGACGGTTGCCGGCCGAACCTGTGCCGGATTTGCGGCAAGACGTACGCGCGTCCCAGCACGCTGAAGACCCACCTGCGCACGCACTCGGGCGAAAAGCCGTACCGGTGCGACGATTGCAACAAATCGTTCAGCCAGGCGGCCAACCTGACGGCACACGTGCGCACGCACTCCGGCGAAAAACCGTTCCGGTGCCAGATATGCGACCGCCGGTTCTCGCAGTCGTCGTCCGTCACCACGCACATGCGCACCCACTCGGGCGAGCGACCGTACCGGTGCCGGTTGTGCAAGAAAGCGTTCAGCGACTCGTCCACGCTCACCAAACACCTGAGGATACACTCGGGCGAAAAGCCGTACCAGTGCAAGCTGTGTCTGCTCCGGTTCTCGCAGTCCGGCAACCTGAACAGGCACATGCGCGTGCACAGCGGCATGAACGGCGCGGACATACTGCTGCCGGTATGACGGTGGCGGACGTGCACTACCGACGACGCCGCCGGCCACCATCATCGTCCCTACCGCCATCATCACCACCATCACCATCACCACCATTACCGCGACCGCGACCACCAGCTGCGCGACGAGCCGACGACACCCGTGCGCGATCACCGCGATCGCAACCGCGGCGGTGGTTGTTACCACGGTTACGGCTGCTGCTGCTACTGCTGCTGCTGTTGCAACGGCGGCGGGGGCGGCGAATGCGTGGTCAAACCCGAACAACCGTGAGCCCGCGTGGCGACGGTCTGCGCGCGAAACACGCTTCACCCAAACGATCGACGGCGGCGTCCGAACGCCCGCGTGTACGGTCCAGTGTTCGTAGCGATCCGCGCGCAAACCCGTTCGTGTACGATCGTGCAGAACGCCTACCGAAAAGCGCCGACCGAGCAAGCTCACCGATCTCCATGACGCGCTCCGTATTCCGGTTCGATTTGGTACCGGTGGTGCGCGTACGCTACCCCGTAGCGCACTTCACACCGTATCCGTGTGGACGGCCACGCGTTACGGATGTTTGAAATCGATTACGATTACATTCGCGACTACGGTCCCGCCACACGCACAGATACCGCGATTGTTTTGCAGGAGTACATTCATTGCGTTACGTGACCATATCGATCGCCCGACAATTACACCTATTGTTACGCGGACGTCACCGTCTCGTTCGTCTGCAAACCGTTTTCGGTTTTCTTCCCCTTTCCATATATCTCCGCCGCACTTCCGTGTAACCAAAAATTACTACGAACCATAATAGGTGACGCGACCCAACGGCAGTGAACCGTCAACGCTAAACCGATAACAGGCAAAAGAAACCATGTACGTCACTACGCGTTGTGCACTGCTGAACTGTGCAACACGCGTAAAACGTCGCCTCGGAGTTCGCGCGCATTCCGATCGCGGGAACGCAGTTGAAACGAATACTTGTAATAATCATTTTCCAGATGTGAAAATACCGATTGCCATGACCGTAAATTCAATAGCGTTGACATTTTTCGTTTAACAGGACACCGTAGCACACTCCTCTTCGTGACGTCCTTTCCGTTAAGCGTTTTATTTCCCAACGCTATTCCCATTGATCGTGACATGTACGTGGACGTGTGTGCGCACGCTGTATGTACACGGTGTCAGGCTTACATTGTACATACGTCGACATATTTAATATTTATATGTATATAGATATATATGTATACTAGGCAAAAACCGTTTTTTTCAGCACAATACGACGTATAACTATTATATGCGAACATAATCGTCGAAGTGAGCACTTTTGAAATAAGTTCATACATATATTTATATATATACGTAATTTTTTCATATAATATAAATATATTAATATATACTTACTGTTAATAGTATAATGTCGTAGTTTAAGAGAGAAACTTCGTATTTGCCACGCGTACGTATTGTTACAGGTGGTATGTTTAAACACATACATCCAATATTATAGATGACATCGTTAACGTCAATATTAGTCTTCGTTGTACCATTTGAATCATAAAAAAATGTAATTTCTTTAAATTTAGAATTTTGTTATAGAATCGATTGATTATAGAATTCGTAATGATCTTATTATAAGTTAAACTCTTCTGGTCTCTATCGTCAACTTCAAACCGAACCATTTTGACGTTTTAAGCAATTTCCAAGACAACAAATTTTACAATATTCAAGTAATGGAGTATGATTCTAGTCTCGCTCGTTGTTTTACAGTTTCTAATCAATTAAACATTCCAAAAATTTAATAATAATTAATATAATTATGAAACAGAATTTCCAACAAAGAAATTTTTCAATTTTAATTACCAACATCAACTTGAACTTAAATTCATATATCTCATAGTCATGCTTGTATTATATAATGTTATTAAGAAATTTCAAAAGCTTATGCTATTTTTCTGATATGTATTTTTGTCTTCGAGTTTATAGAAGTAGTTTCTCTCTTTTACTGACAAAATTACTTTTTGTTCTAGACGAGCTCATAATTTCTAAAATATAATTACAACTTAAGTAAATTCATAAATGTAACAAAACTTCGAGTATAAAAATTAAAATCAAAGTTATAATTATCATCAGAAAAAATATTTAATGGTAAAATTACCAGAAATTGAAAATCACGTCGAATAATTTAAAGCAGTTTTGTGATATTCTTTGGATGAAAAGGATTAGACTTTTGCATACACATTACGTAATATTATATGTACCTATATATCATTGTTCTCGATCCTCATCCATAATATTTAAGTTAACAATAGTTCTACCTAGTAGTTTTTCAGTGTATATTGATTATCGCATGGAGTGAACGTTGAATGTTAGGTAGCGAAATTCATAAATTGAGATAATTATTATAATTTTTTTTTATATATAAGTCATATAGTGTGTAAAATTAACTATGCATACATATATATATATATATATGGATATTACGTGTGTGTGAGTGTTTTATTTGTCATTATAATTAATTAATTTTTATTATTTGAGTGTATTCTCAATCTAGTCAATGTATTTTGTGTAATGTTATAATAATATTATAAACCTTTTAAGAACTATACAATTGTAAATATGGCTGAAAAAGCTAATAACAATATATAAATACATTATGAATGCATAATATAATAAAAATTATCGAACCGTATTTTTTTTAATTTTAATTTATAACTACCATAATATAATTGTTCATAATAATTGTTAGCTGCACAGGCTTCCAACCTGGATGACTTGTATCAGGAATTGGTACTTGGTACCTGTTTAGGAACGAACGCTCAATTTGTAATTAATAAATCAGTGTTTCTCAATCTTTTTACTGTGGTGACAAACAAAATAGTCATTACCATAGTTTTACTAGTCTAAATAACTGACCTAAATTAACCTTTTTATAATTAAGATTCCTTTTTTTCATTTTTGGAAATAAAGGTTTCGGTTTCAGTTACGGTTCCTAAATTTTAAAGATTAACCGGATCCAGTACCGGTTCTTTTCGGTTGTCTACGGTTCTGATCCCTGATAATAACATTAACAAAATAATTATTTAAGTTGTATACATCAGGTCATCAGATTATTAATATTAGCAGTAGCATAATTATGAGGGAGGGCATAGGTAACATAACGCAATTTGTTCCTAAACCATAAAATGAGTTTTAAGACTTGGGTAAAAACTAACAATTAGGTAAACATAGAATACACTTAAATATAATATAGTATTTTTACATTTATTAATTTAACTATTCGAATTTTTGTCAATTTGATTGAAGAAAATTTCCTATCGATGAATCAAATACTTTTATTAATCTGGGTTTATCTCACTGAGAGAAATCTCGCGTACAAACTGATACAACACAAAATAAATGTCAATATAAAAAATATGTATAATATACAATGCATCAATTCAACAAAAATTTGTTTAATAATAAATGTTGAACGTCCTTAATGAGTCATTCATTATTTTAAGTCTTAACCTAATGTGAGCCTTGTCATAATGGAATTCGAGGAACTTATATTAATAAATTGTACTCAAATTGAACTATATACTGTAGGTTATTGTCATATAAAAAACTTTTTAAACTTTTTCAAGTCAGACTGCATGGGCATATCATATACATAAACTTACTGTCTTCGTCGGCCTGACCAATTCAGTATGCTAACTGGTCAGTGGCTACTATTAAAAACAAGTACCTACCTACTTCATTGGTCAAAATATATTAGGTATCTAAACTCTTTATTATAGGATTTTTCTAACAGGTTAGCGAATTCAGGAGGGGTAGCTAGGAATTTCCAAGGGAGGTGTTATGAAAAATAATAGCCTTAATTGAAAAATAAACCATGAATATAACTATGAAAAAATATAACATATTTGTCTACAATATTATTTATATTTTGAAAACTGATTTATAATGTTTAATTATTACATGCATCTTAATCGATGACTTATAATACTTAGTTCACGTATTGCATCTTCTATTGACACCAGGAGCGTACTCAGGAATTTTTTATGGGGGGGTCCAACATTTTTATTTTATCTGATAATGGGAAATCAAAATACACTATATACTATTATTATACTAATTACTATTAAATCGTTGAGTATGTAGAAATTGCAATGGGGGAGCCCAGACCCGAATCCCCCCCCCTTTTGGTACGCCCTTGATTGACACTAATATATTATGATGTATATTCATAAATGTCAAATCATTTAGACGATTTTTACCAGTAGTAGATAATTTGTTAATATAATTTCAAACGCCGAAGTGTTGAAAAGGATGTCGAAACGAAAACGAAGTTGCTGGATGCTAATATGACCGGCAAAGTAGCTAATATAATTAAAAGTAATGGTTGTAATTATGTAAATAGTTGCAAATATATCTTCATTGTAATTATTTAATCCTTCTATTGTGTTGGGTATTTTCATTTTTATTTATTGATGCCATATTATGAATTCACTCATTGGAGTTATTTCATCTAAATTAATATCTGATTGATATGTTTCTAGAAGATCTTTAAATTTAATTTCGTCAAATTCACTTGGATTTATTAAACCTCGTACATAGGCGCAACTAGGGGGGACGCAATTGGGTTTTTAGCACCCCTGTTTTTTTTCAGATGTTATATACATCTAAAGTAATTACAGTTAAATAGCATTTTATTTTATTTTCTGCAATTTTAGCATCCCCAATATTTAAACTCTAGTTGCGCCTATGACCTTGTACCATATTACGGCCATCAAGATTTTAATTTGCACATATGCCTCGAGTAGTTCAGTTACACGGCACTGTTAGTAACAATCTATGATTCATCAATCTTTCATGAAGTTATTTAAAAAAATTATCTAAAAATTATCTCACATGGTACTTATGTGGTGGAAAATAATTTTCCAATATTTGGGATTAATTACCAAAAATAGGACAAAAACAATAAATAGGTATGTTAAACTAGAATGATACTTCACTTACATTTTTGCAAATGCAAATTAATTTTCGCTTCTACACTTATTAGGGTGCATCAAGGGAAATGCAAAAAGAGCAGTTGCTCTAGTTGGCAAAACATTGAAATGGGGATTTGGATTTTATTTACACTTTGAAGGTTGGCATTAGCTTTTTTTTTTGTTCTTATCATGTTCGCTGTTATCAATTGTTATCAAAAATCGGGAGAACTGTACCCATCGCCGCCCCACCATGATTCGTATTTTTTTGAATATAATACATTGATTTATTTAAAAAATGTAATGTATAAATAATTAAGAATATAAATTACTAGTCTATCATTATAATCATCATCAATCTCTTAAGGTAACGGCTTGTCGTTGAAGCCACTCCTCTCTGTCCAGTGCAACATTTTTCAATTCAAAAAAAAGTTTTATAGTTCATGGACTCCTGGATTTCTTCAAAATATTTCTTTCGTGGTCTTCTTCTAGTCTTTTTCCCTGCAAATTTTCCTTCAAATATGTTGGTAATAAAATCGTTATTTCTCATGAGGTGACCTATAAGTTCAATTTTTCTACTATTTATTAATTTCATCATCTGTCTTCCATAGGCGCAACTAGAGCCCAAATATTGGGGGTGCTGATATTATATAGCTCGCACTAACCCGTGGAGGGCTACGCCAACACTCCCTTCCCTCAAGTACCTTATCCCAATTTAATTATTAAATGTATCATAATAACACACATACACTAATATTTTAATTTATAAATATTAACAAGGATAAATTGTAACATACGTATTTATTTCATTATATTATTTTATTTAGATCATACAGCACTAAGAAATATACAAATTAAAAAATTATTATAAAAATAAACAACATATAATATTTATAATGGTATTATCTTGCGATAACTAGTGGACAATTTTTCAAGGAATTCTTACGATGTTATTAACTAATACAGAGGTTCCCAAGCTGTGAGTCGCGATTATATTTTTAGTGGATCGCGTTATACTTTTTATGTATTTCTATTACTTATAGTTGATGTATAATTATTTAGTTAGTTTTATTATTAACTGTTATCTGCGTTTGTGACGATTAAAAATTTACTGCAACCAATAGACATAATAATATTTCTTTATATGCTTATGCACAATTGTGTCAACACAATCGGATTAATGATTATTTTCAGTAACAAACGGTACATTGAATATGATACATGCACGCAGTTTAAATCTTACTATTTTATAAAAAATATTTTTGGTTGTGAAACGAATAGTGGTATTATCTTCTACGGATATTGCTACGATTACAGATATTTACAACCATAACCGAGGTATTTATCAGATAATATAAAGTAATTTAAAGTAACACTATTTTTACCACATATTTACTAGTTTGTCATTTTTTTTGTGCATTTATGCATATTGTATATTTTTTTTATTTATTAGAGCTATTTAAGTCCTTAATAATTTTACTCACCTATTTTTTTTTTACAACATAATATCTTGAACTTTTTGTTGTGCATAGGTATCTAGTCATTTTTTTTATGCACAAATACATGCATATTTTTATATTTTATAGAGCTAGAAGCCCCTAACCCAAATAATAATTATAATAACTGACAATGTTTGTTTCCATATTCTTTAACTTGCAAATATTGGCCAAAAATATATTTTTGTAAATTTAAAACATGGTTAAGATCAAGAAGAGGCCAGCATAGACTAACAGGTTTGGCTTTGCTGCATGTGTATAAAAATATTATTGTATCCATTGATGAAACAATCAACAGATTTGTCAAAATGAAAAAAAAAGAAATCAGGAATTTGTTATTTGACTACTTACCAACCTTATGTTTTCTACTTAGATATTTGTTAAATTAAGTTATCTAAATTGCTATCTTAATTTTTTTTTAAAGATTTTAAAAAATAATTAATAGGTATTATTACTATGATTATTTGTTATTTTTTTATACAAGATTCAGACTGAAGGTACAATTTTAATATAAGAACTATTTGTGTTGTTATTATTAATACTTATTTTATATGCAATAGGTTTTAAATATATTTATTAAATAAATATTTAATTCCATTTGGTTCTTGTATTTTTATTTATTAACTCAAATCAACTACAGGAACATAAGCTGTAGTTAATGAACCAGTGGCATACCCAGGAACTTTTTAGGGGGGGGGTCCAACATTTTTATTTTATCTGTTCTCTAAATATAATTATAATTTAATTCAATACCAACAAATTACTGTTAATAATTATAATCGCAATAGTTATATACATATCAAACATTTTCTTCACAAAAGTTTACTATAATAGATAGGTACTATAATTTGAAATAAATTTTTATTTGGTCGTATAATGTTATAAAAATATACATTATTTAATTAACAATTATAAATATTAAAAAAACAGTATAAATGAAACATGGTTTATAAATTATAGGTATATTATATAATCTATAAACTTTGTATATTGAAGATAATAGGAAATTAAAATACACTATATACTATTTACTATTAAACCATTAAGTATGTGGAAATTGCAATGAGGGGTGGGGTCCGGACCTAAACTACTCCCCCTTGGGTACGCCCCTGTAGTGAACTGTAAATTATTTTTAAGTTTGCATTGAAGAAAAATTAGTTTCACCCCCCCTCCCTTGACCACAACTCAAATACGGCCTTGCAATAGGCTCAAGAATGACCATAATCGTGGTAGTATATACATTGTGGAAATGTGGGATATTTATAAGGTTCTCTTACCTCAATTTTTGCATTTCACTATAATTAGTGAAGTTAATTTGAATATTTCTGAAAAATTTTCAGATTGTGGTAGATCTACGAAAAATAATGAAAGTAGTAGTTTGGAGGTTTAGTGAAATACTTGAGTTACTTGTTGTACTTCGAATGAGAGATCTATCAGTTTTTTTTTTTCATTGGCTGTGGTTGATGGATGAATAATTCGAATGAGAGTACGGATAGGGTTGTCTTGATTAAGTTGGTAAGTATGATGTTAATTAGTTAAAACATAAAATATAGTAAATTAAATGCTTACACTAGATTATTGGACCACATCGTTGAACAATGGTAGTCCGAATAACAGGTGGAGATAACACCCACGACGTACTTGATATTGTTACGATTATAAATTATTCGCGCTCAAATGATAATATGTCAACTAATGTTCTTTGCGTTATCATTGACTGTTGACTTCGTGAGCTGTATTTCTTCCCTCCGTATAATAAAATATTATGAGTATGAGCGAATTTGGCTAAAAAAGTTTGACTTTTTTATTGTTCCCCAAAGTTGAATATCGTATATTATAGTGGTTTGGATGTAGATGTTTATTGATAATATACATAGTTGTGTAAATTTAAAAAACTTTGGTTTAAGAGAAAATTGTTTGTTTTACATGAGTGTTACACAAATTTATCTTTTATCTAGCTACAATAGAAGGTAAAAGAGACCGAGGACATCCAAACACTTTACATTTGTCGAACAAATGGTTTACACTGTTAGATTATCAAGCTACACAGAACTGAAGAGGTTATGGTTAGGTTAGAAGTTGAATACGAGAAGTAGTTTGGCTATTATTTTGACTGAAAGTGAGACTTATACATAGATTTGTTTTCAAAATATTTGATTCATACTCCAATTTTGTTTTCCAAATGGAACATGGAAAATTAATTGTACTGTTCATTTTGCACATTATGTTTAAATATTTATATATAGGAACCACTTAAATATAAATAGTGTTATTCTGTGACAGTATGTTATTCATTAATGTCCTTTTAAACTATGAGTTAGAAATATCAGACACAAATCTTAATAACACTGTAGTACCAAATAACATCTTACCAATAACTATCAATCAAGTTAAATCAAGAAACATATGGAAAAATTACAGGTGTATACTACAGTTTACTTTCACCATTAATATATAAATTATCTCAGTTCTTTGACCTCGCTTGAGAACAATATAGAATAACTATTATTTTTCGATACTTTCTAAATACATTGATAACATTAAAATATTAGTTTGAACTTTTACAACATGTACATAATAATAATGAAGAAAAAATATACATGTAAATATAAAAATAAACAAAAAATATTATTGTTCCATGCAACACTAATATATTGTAATTTTCAAGTAAAATATTAAATGTTACATTTTTTTTTTATCTTTACAATTCCTAAAAAGAATAGTTAAAAATGTATTCGATAAATTTGTTTCATTTTTTTATATTTACAAATTTGAGTTTTAAAAAAATTTGGCCCAGCTGAAATATTGCTTGACCGATTTTTACTTAACAGAATTACATAAATGTATAGTAATAATTAAATTATTCATAATTATTTTTATCAAATTAAGAATTACATCACCTTTTGTTTCACTTAAAACTAAAACAAAAATTGTTTTGTTACAAAATATGTCGTATGACATTACACATATCAAAAAGCACAAGACTTTTATTGTTTTATCTTATAGAAAAGATATAATTTAGTCATGTTTTCATACATTTATGCTTTATTTATACAACTGGGACTTAAATTAAATCTAATTACAACACAAAGTAAATCTAAAAAAAAAAAAAAATAATAATAATAATAATAATCTTACTATAATTTTCTCTTAATGAAACTATATGATTTAAAAATGGTGTAAGAAATAGTTTTCGTTAAAATTATATACAATATCCAACATAATTTCTGTTCTTGTATATTTTTAGTTCGTTAATTGTCTATGTACTTTAGGGTTATAGTACATAATTCTGATTTGAGGTTCATTAAAAAAAAAAAAAATAATAATAATAATAAAACAGTAAATAGTACAAAATACAAATAATAAAAAGATATGATCTATATAAAATATTATATACTTTTACTGTGTTTAATGTGTTGATTATTACACCTCATTTAATTTAATAATAATACAGATATTAACATATAATACCACTGAATTTGTTTAAACTTGGATTTATATTGACCAAATCTAACTTATTAAGTTGAAAAATATTTATTTATTTTCCCTAACCCTGCCCAAATGTATGTCCATGTGGACATTAAGGTGACAAAATCTCCAGTTTTCTTTAATAATAAACAGTTAAAACACACTTAACAGTTAAAATTCCATATGTAATAAACACTACTTAATTAATGTGATGTTGCTATTTACAATAATTAATAAAAATGTTTTCAAATTAAAAAAAATAAAACATATTTATATTATTTAATATCCTGTAGAAGCCCAATGCCACTAATTATCTCCCATTCATTTAAAATATCATTCTTTTGCAAAGTGAAATAATAACATTTCAATCATTTAACATAAAATGTAATAATAATTATTTAGTTTTTTTTTTTTTTTACAGAATAAATAGAAAATTTAAATTAATAATAATACAATATTCTTTGAATTATAATTTTGTTAAAAAATGAGACAACTGTTGATTTAAAATTAGTTTAAAAAAAAATCACGTAAATTATTGTAAAATTCTATATTTAATTCATACTATTGGAGTATTTTCAAACTCAAGGCGTCCAATTATTTGTTGCAAAATTCTAAACCATAACATATAGTTTGTTTTAGGTTGCTCAATATTATTTTAAAATAAAGAAAATAATATAAAAACTGTCTACTAGAACACGACAATTGTTCTAATGATAAAATGGTTTTTGCTTTCAATTAAAATTAAATTTTGCAAAACTTAAGAGTAGAGCAATATAAGTGCCTTTCAAACAATAGGCCTATATGTCAGGGACGGACTACTCTGGCTCACATTATTTGTACTGTCACGGTCGTTTTGTCCAGAAGTGTATGGAAGCTGGGTGTTAACAAACTACAAAAAATAAAAATAAAAATAAAAAAGAATCAGTTAAAAAATTTAAATTAAAACACAAAATTCCCGAAAGCGTGTCAACAATAAAGTAAAGCGAACATGGAAATTTTGTCGCTAAGGGCGCAGCAATATTTAAAAACACAGAAATTAAAAAAAAAAACCATATAAATAGTCCACCCCCAGGACGCCTTGAGAAGTTGTTCAAGTAAATTTTATTCATATACTTATATGAAATGAATGTGCAATGTATATTGACTTATAGTAGGCCGCGCCCTTTCTTGTAATGCAAACAATAAAATTAAGCTATGGACATCATTGTCATTATTAATCATAGTTTAAGTCTTAATACAGCATATCATTTTTATTATATTGTATAACATTCATAAATTATAAATTAATACGATTAAATATAATTCATGTTATTAATGCACTATTAATATTGTCATTAACAAAGGGTGCCAATATTATATTTATTAAAAGGACTATTAGGATAATCAAAATATTGAATAAAAATAAGTAAAATTAAATAAAAGACCAAACTCAATTTATTTTTTCTAACTATAAACAAATATCTACTTAAACAGATAAACATTAAATATGCATTTTATACTCAAGTAAAATCAATAAAATTTTCAAGCAATTATACTTGAAAACTTATGATTAAGTTCACCATTTTGACTATTACAAAAAATAATTTTACTAATATTTAATTTAATATTCAACTAGATTTACTTTGAAATAAATAAAATTTAATTTCAAAAAAACAATCTAATATTAACATAAATAAAAAGTATGATGCTGTAGTTCTAAAAAAACAAATAAGTTGATCAATTGTAAAATAATTAGTATGAACAAATCAATCGATAAAGTAATATGTTTAATATTTAGTTCGGTCAAAATAAAATTATTAATGTATACACACAGTTTTAAGAACTATGTACTTGTTCAATTAAATAAAATGATAACGATTTTTAAATTTTTAATTCCTTTAGAAAAACACAAAATATTTTAATTAAAAAACAAACAATATTATCAATTAGAATAGAAAAATTAAATTTTTTTATACATTATTAACAAAAATTAATTATTTAGATATTTTACTGAGGCACCCTTATATAATTAACATGCGTAGCAACACAATCACAGTATTAGTTAAGCAAAATAAATACAAATAGCAACATCAAAATTATTAATGATTCTAAAACAAAGGTTTAAGCAATAACACATCATGAAATTGGGAGTGACCAAAGAAAACATTGTCTGAGGTATGCTTTTAAATAAATAAAGAAATATCATGATATACAGTCAAGGTTATTAAGTCGTAAACACTTTATTATAGCAATGCATAACCCTATGATATAATTAACCGTTGAACTCTAGTCAATATATGTCAACTGCGTGAGAAATAAAATAAAGGTTGAGGGTGAATTAGTAAATTAAAAATCTTAAATGTTTATAAACCAATGGAGTTGAATCTCATTTTTTTTTTTCATAAAAAATACAATTTAGTGAATATTATGTTATAACTAATTTGAACTTTTACAATAAATCAATAATTAGTTATATTATTAATACAATTAACATAGATATTAAAATTTATTCTAAGTAGGTAAAAAAAGATCAATGAAATATTTCTATGTAATAGGCCGGATGAATGGGAGGTAAACATACTCATTGATTACAGAGGAATGAGAGGTGACGGGGCAGATGATGCTCAAGGCACTGAATCAGCCCCACTACTGACAGACGGCAGTGTACTCACTAATGAATGTGGTAGAACTGATGCAGGTGGAGCTGATTGAGAGCTTGGTGGCGCTTGCGAGGGAGGTGGTGGTGCTGAACCAGAGCCTGGCACATTATCATGTGCAGTAGTAGAATGTGCTTGTTGTACTGGTAAAGTACCAGTGCCAGCACCGGCATAATACCTAAATTAAATAATAAATAATTAAAAAATTTTCTAACAATTTAATTTTATTATATATATATATACCCTCCATTCATAGCATCAGGATTAGCAGCAGCGGCAGCTGCTGCAGCTACAGCAGCTGCTGAAGTTGCACTTGCCATTGCTGCTTGATGTGGATAGGTAGTTGGGGCAGGAAAATACTCTTTGTTAACGCAATTACGAAGACATTCAGGTATTCTACCTACAATTGCTCTACGAATTTCACTAGCAGCCATTTCTCTTAGTTCTGTACAACTAGCATCTGAATAAAATGCAGCATGTGGAGTGCACAGTAAATTTGGAGAATCTTTTAATGGTCCTAAAATAATTAAATTTGTTTTAATTAAAATTAATATAAAAAAAAAAAAAAATTGATTAAACAGTACCTTGGAGTACATTGAAAGGTTCATTTTCATGAACATCTAAGGCTGCTGCTCTAATACGTCCTTGTTTCAATGCTGTTGCAAGAGCATCATCATCAACTAATCCACCTCGAGCAGTGTTTACAAGGAAAGCCCCTAAAATATTTATATAAATATATATATCTATAATTATAATGTACTAAGAAATTATTTACCTGGCCTCATTTGTTTAATGGTAAACTCGTTAATAAGGTGATGATTATGTTCGTTCAAAGTACAATGCAACGATACACAATCAGATTGGAACAATAAATCCTATAATAGTTAATTTTAAAATATTATAGTATACATTATCTCAAGAAAAAAAATTATAATTTACCTGTAGTGTATAAACTCGAGTCAAGCCTAAAGATTTTTCAATTCCATCTGGTAAGTAAGGATCATAAAAAATTACATTAAAGCCAAATGCTTTTGCTCTTAATGCAACTGCTGAGCCAATACGACCTATTGAAATTTTTTTAAACAAATTAAAAATTAATAAAAATAAAATGATCATGTTATAAGTTAAATACCCAAGCCAACAATTCCTAAAGTATCCCCTCGAATACGTGCACATCCTTGAGCAGCTTCTCGTACTTGTTCAGGGCCAGTAAACTTTTTCCCCTCTCTAACCATTTGAGCTAACCAATAGGTTCTACGATAAAGATTTAATATCAAACACAAAGTTGTGTCAGCTACTTCTTCTACTCCATAGCCTGGCACATTACACACTGCTATACCTAATTCACCAGCAGCCTAGAGAAATAATAATCACATGTAAAATAAGATAAATAAATAAAATAAATTTAAGTTACAAGGTACCTTAACATCAATATTATCCACTCCACTTCCTATTCGTACAATAATTCTGAGTGTTTTAAATTTTTCTAAATCTTCTTTTGTTAGAACAATGGTATGCCACATTAAGGCCCCAACAGCTTCATTTAAAACCTATAAAAAGTTATACAACATAATTAATATCATTAAAGTAACGAATATGAAAAATATCTTAAATTACAAACCTTTTCATGAATTTCTGAAGTAGATTGGGCATCACAAAATGCAACTGTAGCTACATCTTTAAGTATAGGCATTTCTATCGAACAGTCTCTGCCATCCAATAAGGCAACCAATGGCCTTGTTTGTATAGGTCCATTAGTGATTGGTCCAGCACCAGACCCAGTTCCTCGTATAGTTGTATCAATTCGTGTTCTTTTTGTAATCATTTTCCGTTTGTCCATTACTGGACTACCAACACGTTTATTTAATCCTTGCGTTTTGACTGTTTGAGTTTCACAAGAGTGTTTAAAACGTCCAAATCATACCGGACAATGAAAGGGGAAGGGAATCTGTAATAAAAATACAAAATAAAAAAATATTTTAATAATTATAAACTAGAAATAAAAAGATGAAAATTAAGTTATGGTTTTTTTTTTTAAAAAAATATATAAAAGATCAGGCGGAAGGTTTCTTTTAATTTAGAAACTTTTTTAAGTCCTAAATATAGAAGCGAGAAAAAAAATTACAAAACTTTGTTTGTCGATATCTGGACCATCTAAAAAGCTATAATGTACTTAAAAGTTTGTTTTGAAAGCTCGTGAGATCTGAACTAAACTTTACTGGAAAAAGTTTTCTTTTATTTCATATTACACAAAACTTGTAAGAGAGGGGTGCAAAATACGGCAAATGGTTGAACAACATTTTACTATCAAACAGCACTCATTGCAAGTTTTTTTTTTTACTAAATCAATCATAGGAAATATTATTGAAAACTAAACTACAACCACTTGTTTTCAAAAAGTTTATGTATTTTAAAAAAACATAAAAAATAAAAATTATTATAATTTAAATATCAAAAACTTTAGCCAGTTTGAAATAATTTACATAGTACTAATAATTGAAAATTAAATTGACATTCCTCAATTCAAACTGAACAATAACCAAAATAATAGTTAGATTCAGCAAAAATTAATTAAAAATATATTAATATGCATAAAACCGATTAATTGGAAATACAAAAGCAATGCTCACAGGGCATACAAAAAAATATGCTAATTTAATATTAAACTAACTATAAAAATAGAATATTCTTCTAGAAACTTAAAAATTTTAAAATATAAAACTATAGAAAATGTTTAATCATAAAACATAATCTTAACAAGTAGCCAATATGAAAATTAAATATAATATCACATATAATAAGTATAATAGTAAGTAAACCTAATTTAGGTAGAATTCAAACTTGTCAAGTATTTATGACAATAATTTTACTTTTTTATTATTGCACATGACTATCAGCAATGATATATTTTACAACAATAAAATAGATAAATATATAAAAATATTGATAATAAAATGTAGGTAACTGGACAAACACATAATTAATAACATATAAATATGTAAGTGTTAGCAATAACTACAAGATATATATATATATTGGATTCAATTAACACTCAATAAATAATAAGATTATATAAGAGATAAGACTGATTACTAATTTTGCTCATTAAACAATATAAGAAGAGCAGTAGTTGTTTTTTGAGTTTTAATTTTACTTTTTGAATTATATTTACATGGGTTATAATAATTATTCTTTAAATAAATAATTTATGATTTTCCTTACCAATTAACTCAAAAAATTATAATATGTCATACCTACTGTTTTTATCTAAGTACAATTTATATTTGTGAATCCCACTATGTACCCCATATTCACCTAATTTATAACAGAAATTTTAAAAATTAGCACCCATATATGTTTTTTTTTATAATTTTGGGCTTTTATAAAACACTTAAACTAGAATAACAACATTTAATTTAGTTAAATGGTAGAACTATATAACATTATTAAACTATATATTATAATATAAATACTTGCATATTAAACACACAAATATATCAACTTTTTAACAGAGAATTAACTAAATTTAAATATAATTTGTTTTTATTTACTGATTACATTTTTTAGGTAAGTAATACAGGTTGAAGATGCACTAGAAATGAACTTTTCTTAAAAAAAAAAGCAAAAACACTGATGAAAAGAGGTTTTAGGTAGCAACTTGAGTCTAGCAAGTTCAACCAGTTACCATATAGCTTATCATAAAGTAAAAATGCATGCAATTAGATTCGTATATAAGATCAATTAAAATATATTTATATTCCCGAAATATTAATATTGCATACAAATTTATTTATTACTTTTCATAATATTTACTAAAAGTTTTAACTAGTTTTAAAATACATTCATAGTAAGCTTATTAATAATTGGATTTATGTTAGATTAAATAATATGATTATATCTAAATTATATCAATAGCTACTGATAGATAATGAAATCATGAATAACACTAATAATGAATACATGATTGACAATTATGTTAATATTTCTTGAGAAATTATAATTAAAAGAATGATTTAGTAAAATTACAATAATATTAAATGCTATATACATATCTTATCATCAGTATAATCATTATTTTATTTAATATAGTATGTAAGAGATATGATATTTGATTCAAATATTTTAAGACTCAATTTAATGATGATGTGTAATTAACTATGGAAATTATCATTAACTTAATAGTTCTAATTAATTAATACAAATGCAGGTTATAGACATTTATTTCTTGGGAAGAATGTTCAAACGACAAGAGTAGTGAACCGAAAATATTGTCTGCGAATAATATAAATATATGAAAGGAACTGTTATGTACAAACAAGAAAAAATACGCAAAGGAAAAGCGTCATAAAAATAATTCCTTTCAGTTGAACCCCAACTCCACTCGTTCTGTATGTAGTTAAGAGAAAACTTATTTTTAAACTACTTAAAAAGCTTAAGAATAGCGGATTCAGAGCGGGGATATTACAAATAATATAAATTAGTTTTGCCAACAAAGTTATACAAAACAAGCATCGGGGCAAGTTGTTTGGACAAAGCTCAGTGGATCCCGAAAAGTTTCGGATGCGCGCGAGTGCATGGGAAAAGTTGATCGGAATGAACTTTGGCACAACTACAGTCGACGTCGCAAAGTTAACGGCAGGTTAACTTCACAACCCCACACCACCATAGCAGTTAAAAGTTTACTTTTAAAACTGAAAAAAACCAAATATGAAACAAAAGGCAGAGACCGTCAAACAAGACGACGAATTTTACAACAAAATGTGCTAAGGAAGAGAAGGGTAGATTGAGAATGAAAATAAGTTTAAATAAAGTGAGTGAGTCCGGTCTTAAATAAAACTTCCGACGTTCGGTGGTGGCCGCCCTCGGAAAGTTTTACGCCTTTCTATATTTTATGAGCCTCTTATTACTGGCAAAACTTCTATCAGAAAAGTTAACTCAACCCCTCAACCACCGCCGACCACTCACACGCAAGCCGGTGTTCGTCACCGACTTTAATATTAAATACAATTAAATCGACTTAAGGTTCGGACCCCAGAAAATCATGATGAAAAAGGAAAGAGAATTATAGCAATAAAATCAAACTTATAATAGAAGAAAAATCAAAATGTATTCTAATTAACACTCTGTAACTGTTAAAAATAAAAATAAAAAAATAAAATCTTTGAAAACTACGATTACATAACTAGTTCACTAAATAACTTAAATTTGCAAAACATGATCAGTAATATTATTTATATAGTCATATAATTTGAAATTATTCAACAAATTCTAAAAAATAGAACAAATAATAAATATTGACTTCATGTAACAATTTATATTTAAATATTTTAAATATTTTCCGTGTTAAAAATAGAAAAAAATTTTATAAGAGAACTTTAAATTTCTTAAAAAAAATCGATATGTTGTACTAAGTTGTTTGTAGAAATTGCAATCATTTTTACACACGTGGGAAAAAATCTGAGTAAAAAACGAAACCATGGTAGACAAAGCGTCAATCGTGTACGAGTGTAATATTTTCCGTAATTCATTGATTTGTACGGGCTCTAACAAATTAGTAATATACATTTATTTTTCTATTTATACATGGTCTTCGGTGAATATTCGATGTAATACGCGAATTATTAAACGGTGGCAAAGTATTATATTTTTTATTTCGAATTATTTTTGAATTTTAATTACGGCGATGTAACAGAATTAAAGTTAATGTTGTATAACTCGTACATCAGTAAAACACGACGTCAAGATAATCATGGGTCTCATGCATACACACTGTGTCGATAAAGAACTGATAGTAAAATCTTAACATTGTTATAAAAATGTTTGAGCGTTTTATTATTTCATCTTGACATAAATACGTGGCGTAGTCACGAACTTACAAAGATAACAGATTTTTGCAAACATTACGGTTTATTATACAAATAATAAATACCTTATGAGTTGGCGATAGTTATGGTTGAATAATTTGAAATTTAAGAGAACAACGAATACAATACGGCATTTCATAAAACATTAATATTACGGAGGCAAAAATTCAAGACTAAAAAAATGGTTTTTGTATCGGCTAAAATAAAATATATAAGTACATAAAAATTGACTGCAGTTAAGTAACTCGAACGATGAAGTTTGAAACTTTATGTTTAACTATTGACAGCAGTCGAGAAAGGAATGTTACAGGGTTATAACATGACGATGCTAAATAATATGATGTTTTTAAGTTTAATCTTTAACTTTATGAATTATTTGATTAACGCGCGCAGCAATGGAAGGATACGGTATACTTATTTCATATGTATGTAAGACGCACGCATGCGCTGTTCATCTTTCTGAATAATAAAATAAACAAGTGTTTTTTCTCATAATTATATCTTATGAGCAATCGAAATATTTTAAATATAAGCTACGAACACCGTAATATAATAATAAGTAGGGCCGGAATTTAAATGCACTTAAAATCATACAAATATGCTCTAAAAAATAGCCAAGAATGTCCTTAAAATGCATTTAACCACAAAAATGACCTTAAAAATGACATAATTTTTTTTATTTTGGGCATTTAACACACTATATTTTTAACTAGATTTTTAACTAGACTAACTATATTTTTCACTACATATTTAACACACTATTTAATACATTAAAATCACATTCACACGTAATCCGAGCAACGTCTGCGATGTAATACGAACCGACTAACTATTTGTTATTTGACCGAATACTGGTGACGTTCCATACTCTATAATAAATTAAAATAAGATAATAACCGAATTGAAAAATAAAGATTGACAACGTGTATGAAAAACTCGATAAACCTACAAAAATATCAAGAAAATAATTTGTTTTTTGATTTTATTTTGAATAGATTAAATTTGTTTAGTATGTTGAACAAATATGCATTAAAAACCAACAAAATGACCCAATAATACTAAAAATGCTCTAATGAGAAAACCT